TTCAGCCAGTTCCCAATCCACCTCACTGTCTACTGATCCAACCCACGCTTCTTGAGCTTCCCTATGAGGATGTAATGGGAGACAGTGTCAAAAGCCTTGCCGAAGTCAAGGTAGACAACATCCACTGCTCTCCCCTTGTCTGCCCAGCCGGTCATGCCATTGTAGAAGGCTATCAGATTGGTCAGGCATGATTCCCCTTGGTGAATCCGTGCTGGGTACTCCTGATGATCTTCTTTTCCTCCACTTGCTTGGAGAGGACACCCTGAATGAGTTGTTCCATCACCTTTCTAGGGACGGAGGTGAGACTAACTGGCCTGTAGTTCCCTGGGTCCTCCTTCTTGCCCTTTTTGAAGACTGGTGTGACATTGGCTATCTTCCAGTCCTCAGGCACCTCTCCTGTTCTCCAGGACCTTTTGTAGATGATGGAGAGTGGCTCAGCAATGCTGTCTGCCAGCTTCTTCAGTACTCACAGGTGCATTCCATCGGGACCCATGGATTTGTGGGTGTCCATCTTACTTAGAAGATCCCTAACCTGATCCACCTCGACCGAGGGAAGTTCATCCCTTCTCCAAGCTTACTCGCTTACCTGCAAGGACTGGGGAGCCTGAGGGCCAGCCTTGGCAGTGAAGACTGAAGCAAAGAAGGCATTCAGTAGCTCCGCCTTCTCTGTATCTTCGGTCACCAGGGCACCCATTTCGTTCAGCAGCAGTCCCACATTTCCCCTAGTCTTCCATTTGCTGCTGATATACTTGAAGAAGCCCTTCTTGTTATCTTTGATATCCTTTGCCAGACTTAGTTCCAGGTGAGCCTTGGCCTTTCTAGTTGCTTCTCTGCATGCTCTGGCAGCATTCCTGTATGCCTCCCAAGTGGCCTGACCCTCTTTCCACATTCTATAGAGCTTTCTCTTTTAGTTTCACTAGAAGCTCTTTGGTCATCCATGCAGGCCTCTTGCCTCCTTTACTTGATTTCCTACTCATGGGGATGCACTGATCCTGAGCATGGAGGAAGAGCTGCTTAAACAGCATCCAGCTCTCTCAGACTCCCCTACCTTCAAGAGCCTTAGCCCATGGAATTCTTCCAAGTAGGTCCCTGAAGAGGCCAAAGTTAGCTCTCCTAAAGTCCAATATGGCGGTCCTACTTGTTGATCTGCTTCCACCAGACAGAATCCGGCACTCCCACCATCTCATGGTCACTGCAGCCAAGACTGCCCCCTACTTTCACATCCTCAACCAGTTCATCTTTATTTGTCAGCACAAGGTCCAGTAGTGCTCCTCCTCTTGTTGGCTCCTCCACCACCTGGGCCAAAAAGTTATTGTCGATGTTCTGCAGGAACCTGCTGGACTGTGCGCACCTTGCTGTCTGGTCCTTCCAGCTGACATCAGTTGAAGTCACCCGTGAGAACCAGGGCCTGTGATTGCGAGGCTACTTTTAGCTGTCTGTAGAAGGCCTCGTCTACTTCCTCATCCTGGTTGGGTGGTCTATAGTAAACACCCACCACAGTGTCACCCATGCTGGCCTGCCCCTTAATTTTTACCCACAAGCTTTCAACTTGTTCTTCATCCACTCCTGGGTAGAGTTCTATACATTCCAGTTGCTCCTTTACATAAAGAGCAACTCCACCGCCTCGCCTCATCGTCCTGTCTTTCCTGAAAAGTACATAGCCGTTGATAGCAGCATTCCAGTCGTGCGTGTTGTCCCACCATGTCTCTGTAATGGTGATGAGATCATGGCCCCGCAACCACATACAGAACTCTAGCTCTTCCTGCTTATTCCCCATGCTGTGTGCATTGGTGTAGAGGCATTTCAGCGAGGCAATTGAGCACCTAGGTTTCCCTGGAGGGATGAAATAGGATCTGCCACAGCCAAGCCCACCTTTAAGGCAGTTGGTCTTTTGATTTTTAAATTGGGAGGCAACTACGGCACATTTATTGCTGCTCTGAACGGACACACTTGTTCCCCCATCGGATGCGATTGCCTGAGTGTCCTGACTGTGTACCCCACCACCCGAGTCCAAGCAGTTCAGATCATTTTTGCTCTCTTCTCTTGCATAGTTATTACTGGTGATACTGTATCCTGCTTTAGCCAAGCTGAATAAGCCAGACCCTTTCAGTCATCGCTTGTGAAATAGGGGTTTCCGTACCCTGACCATCCTAGCAGCCGGTTCCTTGGCTAGAGCTTGAATTCATCTTCCCTGGCCGTGCTGCTGACAGTCGGTAGTCCGGGGCCAGGAGCTGTGCTGTAACCCTCAGAGCATCCTACCTTTCATTACAGAATCTTCCTGTGGATTAGCTCTCTTGCCACTGCCTTTTGAGTCTTTTGAAGGAGAAAATTGCTTTTGGTAGCAATAAATTGCAGACCTCAAAAAAGAAAATAAATAAAAAAAAAAAAACAGGCCATACCTTTTTTAGACCTTTTGCACAGGGAAAGGGCGTTATATCCAACTGTACAGTTGGTGGACACTGAATTTTAAAATAGCTGGGTTCTTTTCTTCCTTACCAAATGAAGAGAGGAATGAAAGATGGGCTTTTTCTTTTTTAACCGCACATGCTGTTTCCACTCAGTTACGCATCTGTGTTTGTACGTGACCTTAATTATTGTGTTGAAATCTTCCCTTCATTGCATGAATCTGCTCAGGCTTTTTTTAATGCCGCTTGGGACATGGTCTCCATGTACGTGGAAAATGTGGTATTGGTGGTTTCAGGAGAGGTGAGACCCACACAGCACCCAGTGATTACAGAAACCTGCCCTTGCCCAGGTCTGTTCCTTGATTTATTTTTTTTTTATGCTAGCCATACTCCCACTCCACTCTTACGGTGGATTCTGCCAGAGTTTCCTTCCGAGCTTGGTCCGCAGCCCAACCTTCACCTCCTGCTAATGGAAATGTTCCCATATTAGTGCCAAAAGGTTTTTTTTGTCAGAAATTAAACAATTCCAGCATGCATTGTCGTAGGCATTTGTCTCTTAAGTTATGGCTGTCCGTCTGTGTATTGGGGGGACACAGGAGGAATTTATTATAGGAGTAATTAATTATTTTGGGGTTGTTTCTTTAAAACCAGTATTTTGTCAAAAATTTCCTCCCTGTTTCCTTGGTAAGCACTCCTGAAAATTCCTTATATCTAACATTTATATATGTTCAGAACATTTTCTGGGGTTGTTTCCAGCCAGGCTGAGTTGGCTGTTACAGGGTTGACCAAGAGCAACGCCTTCTAGATTTCCAGGTGGGAAAAGTCTCCCTAGTCTTGGTTTCAGGATTGATGCAGAGGTCAAGGCTTGCTCGCTAGATGTGCATCTTAAGATGAAGGGTCAGAAGAGAACCAGGGGTCTGATGTCGGGATCCATGCTCTATGAGCGAGATGACTCATGTTCAAAGAGTAATGGCTTCATTGGATACAAAGCTTGGACTGAGGACGGGCTTCAGTGGGATACGGTTACCAGTTGTTTTGTAATAGCTGTATGGTTTTAGAAGATGATGTGAGAAGATGAGGTGGGAGGCCTCAGGGCCAGTACCTGGAGCAGGACATGGGTCTGGGAGCCCATGGCTGTCTGTGGTGCAGCAACTGGAGCAAGCACAGGACTAGAGGGACCAGGGAAGCCCCAGCCAGCTGCTGGACAGGCAGTTGGGTCTGGGGGTTGACTGAGACCACTTGTGTGTGTGTGCACGCACGTGTGTAGGTGTCTGTAGGGGGGAGGCACCTGGGAGGAGTGAAGATCCAGGGCCAGAGGCTTGAGGGATCCATGCTGCACCTATGCATGCATCGACATTTCCCACTAATTCAGTCTTTCGCCCTAACAGTCTCGTGAAGCGAACGTGTCTCATTTTCCTTGTTGGTTACAACTTAGAAGATTTGAGGGTGAAAGAGAGGATGGAAGCAGCAGAATGCCCTGAAGCACCTTTTGGGGATGGGAGGAATTAATCAGCAAAGCTGTGCCCGGGATGTTTCATTTTAATTATCTCTTTTGTATTTCAGCCCTGGCCCAGTGTGTCCAACCTGGCCAAGGATTTCATCGATCGTCTACTCACAGTGGACCCCAGTGACAGGATGACAGCCCTTCAGGCCCTGAAGCACCCGTGGGTGGTCAGCATGGCAGCCTCGTCCTCCATGAAGAACCTGCACCGTTCCATCTCGCAAAACCTTCTCAAGAGGGCATCTTCCCGCTGCCAGAGCACCAAGTCTGCACAGTCCACCCGCTCCAGCCGCTCCACCAAATCCAACAAGTCGCGGCGGGTTCGGGAACGGGAGCTGCGAGAGCTCAACCTGCGCTACCAGCAGCAGTACACTGGCTGAGCACTGGGCTGGGACCTGCTGGGTGTCTTTCCAGATGTCTTCTCTGCGGCGTAGGTGTGCAGCACCCTTTGCTGCATGCTCACTCAGTGAGGAACATCCAGGTTCCTCCCTCCCTCCCTCCCTCCAGGCATCCCCCCCATCCATGAGGAGGTGTCCTGTCCCCCCATGCGGAGGAAAGGGAATCTCATGGTAGCCTTCACACCCTGTGAGCTGTGCCGTGGGGTCTTGCGCAGGAAACGGGGGGGCCCTTGTGGGCTCCGAGCACAGCTCAGAGCCTCAAGTAACACACAAATTAAGGAGCCACGTGGGGAGAAGAGCTCTTTCTGTAGCCCAGGAGCTTGGCTGTTCATAGTTATTTATTAATTCCAGAGCGTTAAATTTCTCTCACTTGTGTATGAAAAAAAAAAAAAGAAATCACTTTATGTGTATCTACACGCACATATGTGTGTGCAAATACACGTGTGGGTGTGTATATGTATTTCAAAATTACATATACACAAATTTTGAGCTGGTTTAGTCAGACTCTGTGGTGTCTTTGCAGTGAAGCTGGTATGAGTCACATGCCGTTAGAAGTAGGATAGCTCTGACTCACCGGCGTGCTGCCCACCAGCAATTTGTGCCGGTACGGCGCCAAGGAGATGCCAGACAGCAGTTTTCCGTGACGGCTGGGAAGCTGCGAGGTTTTCCCCGAGGGCTGCCATCCACCTGATGACGTCAAGGGTTTACTCAAGCTGTGCGAGAGCTGCTGTGCAAATTGGCAGCTAGGCTGAAGTGCTGTGAGCTTGGAGCTGTTGTCCGGTTCCTTTGATCCAGAGTGAGTGGGTGCTTCTGATGGAGGGGTCATCATCCTGCAGGAACTTCATGGTACACAGAGAGATGTTTTTGGGGGGTTCCTTGCTGTCCCTCTTGAATTATCCTTTCGCTATTTGGAGTGAGACCAGTGCCTACCATGCAGGGCTTGTTGTTCTTGCTGTGACCTGGCCCTGTCGTGTCTGTGACCTGTTACACGTCTTGTGCCCTTCAGCCTAGCATTACCGACTGCCATCACTTCACCAAAACTTCGGTGGGTTCAGGTATTGTTCTCTGTCTGCAGATTTTATGGGGCTCCCCTGCTTTGTGTGCCTGTTCTGCCCTGGTCTTGCTGTCCCTGCTCTGGGACAGTGAAGTGGTTGGTGGGAGCTGTCGGGATGGTGACAAATGGCTCTGTAGCCATCAGGGTAGGGGATTGGGTGGTGGAGGTCCAGTCCTGGAACATCAGCATTGATAACGCCCTGGAGACGTTGCCCAAACACCTTAGAGCTGTTAGGGGTGACTTAAATTAAACAGGATAAAGCTGCCTTTTGGGTTTCCTTGTGCTGGGTGGGTGATGCAGGGGCCTCTTGGGAAGGACCTCTCAGGGGAGGTGGAGGCTGTAGAGCTGAGCTTTGTGCAAGCCTGCTGAGAGATCTTCCCAACTAGTTAGAGCAGCAAAGAGGGGCTGATGGCGCAGTCTCTTGTGGTAGCAGAGACAAGATCTGCAGCCAAGGAGAATGCTGGTTTTTGAAAGTCTTCATATGAAGCCAGGCGGTTTGCTTCATGCTGTGCTCTTGGGGAGCGTTTGCTTAGCTCTGGGCTGGAGAGGCAGGCTGTGCCAGCTCATGGCCTTTCCACCCAGGATTGATGTCCATGCTGCTGTGTTTTAGTGTCAGCAAGGTTTTAAGTGGTTGGTCGCATCTCCAGGGAGCTCTAACTCAGGCCACAGCCCCTCTTGGTCAGCAAACAGCAAAGCAGCACGGCTTCCATGGGAGAAGACTGAGTTTTCTGTGCTAAGTTAAAAAAAAAAAAAACAACCAGGAATTTCTAGGGATGTGCTTCCCACCCCAAAGCTGGGATGGGCCATAACCACTGTGAGCACAGCTCAATGTGCCCAAGCGTGTGGTGGGGAATACACCAGAGGAAACCTGAGGGCAGCCATTGTGCGTAGTGGGGGTGAATTCTAAATCCTTTGCATGGGTTTGCATGTTATTTTGAAAACTCTGGATCATTTGCAGGCTGCCTTTTCTCTGAGTGGCTGTTCTACCATATCACATGCAGTCTTTCTTCCATCAGCATTAACGGATACCGCAGAATTACCAGAAATTTTTTTTTTCAGCTCTGTAGACTGGAAAAAAAAATGTTTCTTCTGCTTCTGTTACCTTCTCAACCTTCCCTGGTTCGTTACCATGAACTAGAACCTCGGTGTGATTTCTGCTAAAAGAGGCAGCTTGCCACGTTCTGCTTCATAAACAGTTCATTGCCCCTGCAAACAGCTCTTCAGAAGCAGCAACCACTCTGAGACAAGCATCAACTGGAAAATTGTTCTTCCCCTCCCTGTTAAGAGACAGCAGGGTGCTCCTCTTGGGGGGCCTCTGGTTTTGAGCCATCACTCATAAGAGTCTTCCATGTGTTTGGAGCACCACAGCCAGGCACTGTGATCTCTTCTCCCTCCTGGCTGCTTTCATGGCCCTCCCCAGATTATCTTGCATGTTTGTCCTCAAAGTAGGTATTTTGCCGACATGAGGAGGTCAAACTGATGAACTGAGCCAAGACCTCTAGAACCTGAGACCCTTTCTTTTAACCACTAGACCATCAAAACGCACAGATGCCGTGCAGATGTCTACCCACACTGTTCGTGCTTTCCCTGCTGGGGGATAGATGAAGGTGGAGAGGAGGTCAGGATGTTGAGCTGTGGTCTGACCCAGCTTGTTTCTCCCCAAGCAGAATGAATCTTCTCATCCGTGATGAGTTTTGCTTTGTTGCTCTTTTCATCAGTAGGTTTTTCACCAGGAAAAGCTCAAAGCGATGTCATTCGTGGTGAGTTTGGGGTGGAAGATGCTTTGGGAAGCGAGATGTTGCTACATAGATCTCTGACAGTGTCGGCCTTCTGTGATGATACCCTACGACCAGGGAGGTGAATTGGAAGAAGGGAGGATCCTTCATGTACCTGAGTAGTACTGGGTAGCTGAAATCTGCCTCTTTGGGGTATGGAGATGCGGTCCTCGCTATTAGGGAATTGCACCTGACCATTAGGGAGTTGCACCAAAAAGGACCAAGTCCATCCCATGAGGGGCTTTGGCTTTTCTAGAAAAAGAATGCTCCATTCTCTCTACAAATGCAATGTTTTCTTGTTTGCATGGAAAAATCAATGTAAACACGGGGAAAATCTTTATGGGCTTTCCTTCTTCCATCATTTGATTGTAACACTCTGGCTCAATCGCTCTTCTTTTTCTATACCCAGTATTTGCAGGAACCCAGATGACAGCATGTGTGGGCAGAGGGGAGACTAGCAGAGCTCCGTCCAAGTGCCCCTTGGAGCCCTAGGGGGTCTTTCTGTTTTCACTCTGCCTGGAAAACTGCCATGGTCCAAATGCTATGTTGCAAGATCCAGCTCCAGAACAATTCCTTGTGTGCTTTCATCCTTGGCAACTGTGGCACGTTGTCAGCTGGGTCTGGTGGGGAGGACAGGCAAAGTGCTGTAATTCTGAGGAGTCGTTCAGGTGCCTTCAGTCTGTCCTCTCAGAAGCTCTTCACTGTGAATTATCCTGATCATCTGTCTTCGTATCTATTCCACAGAAGCGTCTTGGCTCTCAGTTTCTCTCAAGTCTCAGGAGTTTACACTTTACAGGAGTGCCTTGTTCAGGGATTTTAGAAGCTAAAATCTCTCTGAAATGTCTTTTGTTTAATTTTAAAATCTCTTTCTTTATCTCTTAATGGTGGTTCTTAGTTTGGCTTGCAGGGGTTTTTGGAAGATTTCCTCTGGTACTGAATTAGCTGGGAGACTGTGGGTAACAAATGCATGTTCCAGGCCATGGCTGAGTTGCTTTATATTAGCAGGGGTGCAGATCTCTGTAAACCAGTGCTTTTGTTCTCCGTGCTTCTGTTCATACAGTGAAAATGAAGCTGGAATGACACCTAGCGGCAAATTGTAGTGTGTCCTTGTCCAAATACACACTACTTGGTTACGCACACACAACTTGGGTACACACAACTACTGGTTACGTTCCCGCTGTTTTGAGGTGAGATTCTCTTTACAAAGAGGAGTCCAGCTTTGGTGTGCTGATGGTCCTGGACCACACCTGCAGTCCTAGATGTTCAATGGCTTTCTCAGCATGGCACCACTTTCTCCTGATCCCAAACCCCAGCATTTTAGCCCAGACAGGGATGAGCATGTGCACCCACTGGAAGGGATGCTCGATGCCTGGGAACAGACACGTGTGGTCAACCCACCAGTACCTCAAGGAGATGCTCACCAGCACCCTGCCTCAGGGTGACATCTTAGGTGACACCAAGAGAAAGCAAAGCCTGAAGATGCTGAGGCTGGAAGCAGTAGGTTTCAGACTTTCTCCCATTGTGAGACACGATGGAGCAGCTCAGGGTGTTGCTTCCCAGCATATTCCATTTCAGGGAAAAGCAGCTTTAAGGAGTAGAGGGAATTAGGGTTGTCTTCTGGAACTTAGCAGTACTGTGTAAAACAATCCCTTCGTTTTGCCCTGGGAGTTTGGCTGCTCTCTTGGGGGAGAGAATTACGGCTTCAAAGATTGTGGCCTGTAGATTCCTTGATTATTTCTTTTTTTGGTTTTTTGGAGGGTTATTGGAAATTAATGTGAAAAGGTCTTCCAGAAGCATCAGGTGGTCTACAGACTGGTGAAGCTTTGCATCCAGATTTTTGAGTACGTGATGTATTTTTCTATGCATTTTGCTAAAAGAGCAGTTATTTGTGCACGTTTGTTTTATTCTTACCCTTCTCAAGCTTCTAAAACCCAACATGTCAACCCAGTGGCCGTGGAAACCTCCCTTCCTTCAATCCAGAAGAAGTCTGTGCTGTTTAACACCGAGACTGTGAGAGCATCCGGATGCTCCTGCCCATTCCTGGGGCTGCATTGTTCTTGGAGGCGTACAACCATATGCGAGGGACAGCTTTACAGCCTTGTGATGAGAGTAAGCCCAGGCGAAAGGGCTCTGCCCTGGCTTTGGTAGCTATGTGGAAACCAGCCGCAGTGTAGGGCCCGCGTTATGTCTTTGGTTTGGAAATTATAAACCCTCAAACTCTTTAACTTCTTTGGAGTTTGGATATTTCCTTCTTTTAGCTCAGATATTTTCTGCTCTGGTAATTTACATTCTCTCTTGTACCCTGCTCCATTTTTCAATCCTGCTTTCTACCGAGGTGTTTGGCTGAAGTGCTGATATAGTCAACTTTTATCTAATGCACAGTGCAAACCAGAAATGGGAATCGTCGTTAACTCGGCTACTGGGCAGCAGCTCTGGATTTGGCTCTGCGGGAGCCATGGTGAGTCTGGGAGCCAGGTCAAAGCATCTGTGCGGTGCCTTGCAGGTGGGAGAAGGCTCCCTTTGAGGATGCTACTGCGCAGGCTTGGCTCACAGTGATTGTGTACAACACAGGACAGCTCATGGGTGGCACTTACAGGCCTCTTATTAGACTGCGTGGGTCCGTATTCCTAGGTTGAGTGTCGGTACTAAAGTGTCGGGGGGTTGAGGCAGGGTAAATCAAAATCTCAGTTGTTTGACTTAATTTAGTTTTCTAAATTATGCAAAGCAGCACAGAGGTTGGCTGAGGGTGGGGAGGGGGTCAGGGAATCACACCCTCCGGAGGAGCTGCAGACTGTTCTCTGGCTGCAGTGTTAGCCCTGGGCTTTGCAGGGAGGGTGGCTGTGGCCTGGCCTCTCACCAGCCTGGCTTCATCCTGGAAAATATCACCAAGTGCCTGTACCGCTCGGTGCCAGATACCCAGCCCCAAGTTGCCTACGTCACTCTCGGGAGATGTTTTTTGGTGCTTTTTTCTGACCACTCAGTCTCCTCTTTCAGACTGGATTAGAAACACAGCCCTTGGGTGTGGCACAGGTGGGTGCCTGCACATTCAGCTGGGGCTCACTGAGCAGGAAATTTGCCAGAAAAAAAATAAAATTAAAAAATGTGAAGCTGCAGGGATGTGCGGTGGCAACGGTATCGTGGAGCTTGGTACCTTCCACCCTCGGCGTCCCTGTGGTGGAGGGATTGCGGGAGGCAACGGGCTGCTGCCTGCCCGATGACGTGTTGGTTTTTTTCCCCTTCTCCCACTGTCCTCTCCTGCGCAGAGATGCTGTAGATCCCTCGGCTGTGCGAGGGGCGAGCTGCTCACTGCTGCTGCAAATAACGTTGCCCTGTGTGTGTCTGCTGGCTGTGGCGGCAATCCGCGGCCCCAGCAAAGTGCGTTAAAAACGAGCAGCTCCCCGTGAGCACGCCCAAATGCCATGGGTTTTCCTGTTGCCTGTCGCTACGGAAAGACACCTCCCGGGAAACTCTTGGGGATTGGAGGTCTTCCGGCACTTGCTGTTATTTTTGGTTGCCAAATTTCCGGTGCTGGGTTGGAACGGTTTGGAAGTAACTCCGGTCGCATCCCATTAAGTCTCCTAACAGGGATGTTTTGAGAAGCATCCAGTTCTGTGACTTGCCTTTTGAGTCCTGCCTTTACACTGAGAACTGTCTCCCAGGATGAGGTCCGAACCCATTGTAGTCTGTAACAAACGTTATGATTAGAGTGTACAGAATTATTTATTTTGTGTACTCGGTTTGCTAAACACGTAAATGTATTCTGTGTACCCCATCACTCTGCTGTGATTACTTCTGACTCATGGACGGCGCACAAGCTGACTGCTGAAAGGCACTGCTTGCCAGGCCGTGAGCGATGGCCAGTGAACGCATTGAAAGCTGAGAGCTGCTCGCCCTTCTGATGTCTTCTTAGAGTGGAGCAAGAAGGTACCCAAGTGCCCGTAAAAGAGTTTGCCGGTTTCTTTAATGCAGCTGCCAGGCTGGGAGCTGCCGGAGGGAGACCTTGCGCAGGGCTGGGATGTCTGCAAGGGTGCTCCAGCTAAGTTGGGCGCTGAGCTGCTTTGTTGGCAGGCAGGGTTTGGGGGCTGAACAGGCAACTTGGGGACATTTTGTTCACTTTGGCTGCAAGGTGGCAGACAGGGCCAGAGAAATACCCTGGTTTGCCCACAGCAACTCATCACCTCTCCGGTTTCACTCTCTTCACCAGTTTCTTCTGCCCATGTGGCCCATCCCCACACCTCTGACCTTCAGCTGTCTTTAAGGTCATTCAGGAGCTCAGCAAAGCCAAAACATGGTGTGCTGCTTTCACGTGATGGGGTTTATTTCAGGTACCACGGAGGCAAAGCACACACTAAATGTCCTGGAGGGACCGGTGTGTACCAGTGCAGCTGCTTCTGCTGGCCTTAGGGGAGGTTTGCAAGGAGCTCAGCTCCCGTGCACTTCTCCCCTGTGTCCCAGATGAGGCTTTCCAAGGCAAAGGAGCCTGAGCCAGCAGCTTCACAGTTTTCTCTGCCAGCCCCTGTCCACCCCGCATCAGCTTGCTCTGGTTGCTCTTGCTCCCTGCAGAGCAGGCCACTAAATGAAGCTAAATTTTATCCAGCCAAAGTAAAACTTACCAGCCGTGGGCTGGATTTGAGCAGCGTTTTTGTTTGGGTTTTTTTTTTTTAAACTCAAGAGTATGGGCCAGACTATTTGTCTTTATGGCTTGCGAGTGGGGGGTGACCCTTCCGATGGGTATGTCTCTGCGTAGCATCACCCTTTCTCTGTGACTGCTCAATAGAAGAGCGATTACAGCATTTGGGGGGGCTGTGATTCAGGCAGCAAAGGTTTTATATCGCATTCACATCACTGGTAAAGGAAAAAAAACAACCCATGCCTCATGCTAGGGTGGTCTGATCCTGCCCCTCTCCACACTGTCCTGGTGAGCAGCTCTGATTGAAGCTGCCAGGAGCCAGGTTGTAATTCATTGACCATGTGTGAACACAGGACTTACTGGTTTTTGCACCTGCCATTGCCTTGAGAACCTGTTTGGGTGAAAACGCTGCTTTCTTCCGAAAACCTGTTGCCTGGTCTTGAATTTTGTTTTCAGCTTCAGATTTTCCTTTGGGATGGCCTCGAGTTTCCTGCTCTGTTACCCAGGGGGAAGCTCCTTCCCGAAGAGCTGGAGCTACCGTTGACATTTCTCCCTTTCAGCTCTGTGTTCCCAGGCTCTTACACAAGTTACAGCCTCAAATCGCGGGCAGGGAATCTTTTAAGATCCCTTGCACCCACCAGCACCTACCCTCCATCACAAGCCAAGACGTGCTTGCTCGTGCTGCGCCCGGCGAGCTCCATGCTTCCTTTCCTGGAGGAGCTGATGCTGGTGGGACCAGCAGGTGCTGGCGACCTCGTGCCCGGGCTGGTGGCCGTTACAGGTAACATCACCCACCCTCAGCGCTGCGGTGATCTCTGAGCAGAGCCAGGTTGACAGGGGACACACGGGGAGAGCTTCAGCAGGGCAATGTCCTTGTTGAGGTTGTAGGGGTTCCAGCTGGGGTTTGTGATGACCTGATGAGAAAAACTGCAGTGCTTCATCCCCACCCTCTGGGCACAGCTGCGTTGCAGAGCTGCAGCCCCATCCCAGGCCCGTGGCCGCATCAGCCCGGCTCACCCCAACCACACTCTTCATCTGAATGGACTCCATGTTGGAGCTGAGGTCGTACTGCCCGAGGACGATGACGTGGGAGTAGGGGCTGTGGGAGGTATGGGAGTCAGGAGGACATGCTGCGGCCAGCACCCAGGGTAGGAGTAGCACCGGGGTGATGCTCTGTGTGCCCATGGGAAGCCAATGCGGGGACAGGTTCAACAAGGCCAAGGGCCGGGTCCGGCACTGGGGTCACAACAACCCCACGCAACGCTACAGGCATCGGGAAGAGGGGCTGGAAAGCTGCCCGTCGGAAAAGGACCTGGGAGTGCTGGTCGACAGGCGGCTGAATATGAGCCAGCAGTGTGCCCAGGTGGCCAAGAAGGCCAACGGTGTCCTGGCTTGTATCAGGACTGGTGTGGCCAGCAGGAGCAGGGCAGGGACCGTGCCCCGGTGCTGGGCACTGGTGAGGCTGCACCTTCAATACTGTATTCAGTTTTGGGCCCCTCACTACAAGAAAGACATTGTGTTGCTGGAGCATGTCCAGAGAGCCACAAAGCTCTGGGGTCTGGAGCCCCAGGCTGCTGAGGAGCGGCTGAGGGAACTGGGGGTGTTGAGCCTGGAGAAGAGGAGGCTGAGGGGAGACCTTATCTCTGCCTACAACTGCCTGACAGGAGGGTGTAGTGAGGGGCTGTCAGGCTCTGGAATGGGCTGCCCAGGGAGGTGGTCGAGTCCCCATCCTTGGAGGTATTTAAAAGACAGGTAGATGGGGTGCTTAGGGCCAGGGTTTGGTGGTGGGATGGCAGGGTTAGGGGAACGGTTGGGCTTGGGGAGCTTAAAGGGCTTTTCCAACCTCAACTATTCTATGATTCTATGATAGCCAGGGAGGGACCCCTCAGGCTGGTTGGTGCCTTGGGTGCTGGCCTTTGGGGCTGTCCCAAGTGCCACCCATGACGCCCAGCACGCCCCAAGCCCCTGCTGGGTGGCACCGGGGGGGCGGGGGCACTGGCCAGGCTTCACTGCTCAAAGTTGCAGTGGGCAGCCATGATGCCCAGTTCTTGTTGATCAAGGAGCTGCCACAGAAGTGGGATCCATGGGGGGTTTGGGGAGGAAGAGCTGGGGGCTCTTGGCTGAGCCCCCACAGATGCTGGGGGTGTTGCGGGTCCCCTGGGTGCCTACCCGGCTTCCTCTGCTTAGGGTACAGATGCTGCCCCTGCCCGGGGAGCGGGATGGTGGCGTACCCACAGGGCCATGAGCCAGGCACTGCATTTGCCCGTTGATCCTCTCGCTGCAGCGCACTGAGGGGCTGCTGGCAGGCACTCCGCAGCCTGTGGGAGAGGCAGAGGGGCACAAGGGTGAAACCAAAAGCTGGGGGCTTGCCCCCAGGGGCCGCCTGTGCTGGTGGCTCTGTGTCACCATCCCTGCGGTGGCATGGTCCTGCTGCACCCCAAGGACTTGCCTGTGCCTGTGGGCAGCGCTTAACTGGGACAGTCCTGGCAAAGGCCAGGCGGGCAACCACCCCCAGAAATGCCATCCTGGGAGGACAGGGCTGTGCCCCTGGGGCCACGAGCCTTACAGTAGCCAGGAGCTACCTGGCTACTCTCCAGGGAGGGCAAGGTCCCTCTACTGCCTCCTGCGGGCAGTGGTGATGGGCCAAACCTGGCACCTACCTACACAAGTGGGGCTGTGAGAACGTGATGCCAAAAGGCACCCTGGTGTGGTTGAGCTATTGCTGTAATGAGTTGTGTCTGTTCTCACTGCAGCCTGTAGAGGGGGAGAGGGAGAGCACCACAGGGCTGTGATGGGGGGGCACGAGGGGGTGCTGCTTGTGGGCACACAGCTGGGACAGCAGTGGGGCTGAATGTGCAGAGATGGATGCCAGTGCCTGGGTTGCGGGAGGTCACCCTGTCCCCAGGCTGTTTCGGATCTCCTGGCACCAGGGCTGTTTTCCTGTGTGGCCATGAAGCCCTGGCCTGGGACAGCACCGGCCCCAGCTGGATGTTCCAAGGGGCACCCCTTGAACACTGGTGGGGGTGAGCATGTCCCACAGCCAGCTGAAGTGGGTGAGGACAGCGGCCACCTTCCTGGGCAGGTGGTAGCCACAGCCAGCGTGGAGAGCTGGGCGAGCTCACCACAAGCCCTGGGGAAGACAGTGGGCACCTCCCTGAGCTGAGTCTGAGCCCTCTGCCTCAGCATCCCCTCACCGCTGCCTCACCCCAGGGCTGCACGCTGGGGAACACCATGGCCCCTTCCCTCCTTGACAGAAGGGGTACGCGGTGTCCCCATCATCCCCTGTGTCCCTGGGTGATGCTCCTGGGGTGGCAGTGGCTGCAGGGAGCCAGCCCTGGGGTGATGCTGAGCATGGAGATGGATCCCCCTCTCTCACCCACGTACCCTGAGCCCTGCCCCGACCTGCTGGGGAGTGGAGCCTGAATGCTAGTGAGTGATTGTAGAGCTCAGGCCTTTATTTCTGGCAGCGGTGCTGCACCAGGATAGTAGGGACAGTATGCAGGCAGAGGACAGGCTTTGCTCCTGATCTTCACGTGGCACCTGGGGGAGAGATGGCCAAGGGCTGGAGAGCAGCAGAGGATGGAGGAAGAGCCAGTGCCCAGGGTGGTGCTGCCCACCATGGAGGAGCCTTGGGACAGGAGGACACTCAACACACGAGATGCAACCACGCTCTCCGAGAGGCTTGGAGAGTCTTGGACTCCAGTCCTGTTTTGGATGCTGGCAAAAGAGGTGGGCTGACATGGACAGGGCTGAGGGCCCTACCCAGGGTGGCGAGACCCCCCTGTGCCCGTCTCCCCTGTGGCTGTGAGCCCAGGCTGGTGGAGAAGCAATGCCAGCCCTCTGGGCTGAGCCAAATAGGAGGAAGACCTCAAATGGCTAAAACCCTCCTGGAAGCCTGGGTTTAGCAAGGCTGGGGTCTGTCTCAGAGCTGGGGTGATATCAGACTCCATGGCCAGGCTGTACTGGCTCAGCAGGCTGGCTGGAGACTCAGGGAAACCCAAATATCTCTGCAGCCCCACAGAGACGTGGACTCGCCCTCAGCTGCAGACCCCTGCCCTTTGCTCTGCAGCATCTCTTTCTCCTGCAGGCCACAGGTCAGACCTGAGCAGCCCCCAACTGCTGCCTCAGCAGGCCAGCAGAAGAGCTAGGGGTTGATTTTCTCCTGACCCAGGTCTCCTGGGGCTGGTGCTTGTAGGGGACAGTTGGCTCAGAGAGGCAAGACCAGAGGACAGCACGTATCCAGACTGTCCCCTACAAAGGGCAAGGTGCTGCGCATAGGGGATGCTGTGTGCCATCTCCCTTCCCACGCGCAGCTTCAGCGATGTCCTGCGTGGTCTGTATGTCCACGGGGGCAGCAGGGAGTGGGACGCCGTGTCAGGCACACTTGCCCTTGCGAAGGCAGAAGGGCAGCTCTGGCGCGGGGATCAGGATGGTGCTGAAGATGGGCCGGTAGCTCTCGGGCAGGACCTGGGGGTGCTGCGCCATCATTTCCAGCACCATGTGCCGCACCTCCTTGGAGACATCACCCCGCAGGTCCAGCAAGGTGGTGATGTGCTCATCGCTGGGCAGAGAGCAAGAGGTGAGTCTGGGCGCCGCTGTAAAACCATCCCCAAACCTCCCGTGATCCAGAGAAGCTGAGCTGAGGCCAGGGGAGAGCTGGTACTTCGCACTAGCCCAACTTTAACGTTTGCTTGAAAATAGCCCCTCAAACCTTGTGAATTCACGGGTTTTGGCTGATTCTGACATTTCTGATTGTGGTTTCTCACACCTTTTTTGGCCACCAGATACAGGCGGGTGACCGCCACAGCAGCACTGATTTTTTTCCTTTACATCTTTGCCTTTGGGACTTTGCAAGAACCCCTCAAATCTGGAGCATGGGAGAAGGAAACCTCAGGGAGGAGGGGGGAAAAGCCCAGATTTCTGCCTGCTCCACAGTGTAACTTCACGGGGTCCAGCCTAAGCCTGGCTCACGCCTACCCCATCGCACAGGAGAGCAGAGCTGGGCTTCTTACCTGACGTCAGGGTACTTGGTGATGAAGCCCAACACCTCCAGGCTGAGCAGTGCTGGGTCTTTGAGGCAGATCAGCTCCCGCAGGGCAAGCACAGCCTCCAGGCACTGTTGGCTCTGGTCCAGACCCTTGGGAGGGAGATCGGTCATGTGTGAGACTGAGAGGAGGCCACGGCGGTGGCCAGTGAGATGCAGCCTGGCCCTCAGTGCCCACATGGGCCCCTGGCCCCTTGCAGCTGGGGTCTCCCCACTCAGCATATTCCGAGGTGGGACGAGGCTTTGCAGCCTCCCAGCCCGCGCTGGGCAGGGTGGATAGTCCCCTGAGGAGCCCCTAATCCAGCCAGTTCCTCCCATCTTAGCCTCACAACTGCCCAAGTGTAACAGCCTTGTTCGTGGGCTGATGTACCCCCGTCCCCATCTGCTGTGGGCTGGAGGGGAACAGGAGTGTGACGGAGGTGAGCTATGAGCTCCTTGCACCGCCTTTTCTGTGTGATGCTCCTCTCCCGTGGCCCAGCCCCAGCTTCCCCCAGCACCCAGGCCCCTCTTACCAGGCCACAGAAGAGCTCCCGGAGCTGCGAGGCATCCTGCAGCAGGCGGTCGCAGAGCTGGCCCCGCTCCTCCTCACTCTTGCACACCATCTTCTTCTGCATGAGCGCCCGCAGGTACTGGCTCACTACCAGGAGCTCGCTCTCCGTTAGCAGGAGCTGGGCAGGGGAGAACTGTTAGTGCTGGGCATCGCTGACTCCTCAGGGAAAGGCAGAGCAGAAAGGTGCTGGATGCAACACAAGCTGTGGGGACAGCCTGCTGGGAAGCCCCCTGGCCGGAGGGACAGCGAAAGTGGCTGAATTTGGGGGAGACCCTGAGCATCTCTGCATGACAGTGCCCTCTGTGCTTCTCCAGAGGATACAGGCTCTCTGGCAAACCCAGCAGTGACTGCAGCCCAGCTCCCTGCTGCCTAAAGGCTGCATCCTGCACCCCCCATGGCACCCAATGGCCCAACCTCCTTGCCCTGCAGACAAGCAGCCCTTTGAAGGACACCCCGCAGCAAGCCCTACCATGAAGATGGGTTTCCTGACGCGGGAGAAGTCCTTTGTGTACTTATCAATCACTTCGCACATGCTGCTGACGAGCTGGGACCCAGAGAGCCACTTGCGGGAAGACAGCTGCAGGTAGAGGGGCTGAAAGAAGCAGAGGAGCAGCATTCAGTGCCCTGCATTGCACCGCTCTCACAGCAGCCACCAGCTGCAGGCTGGCACAACATCCCACAGCAGCTGCCTGCCAGCACAGATGCTTTGCCTTGCAAAACCTCCAAGTCCCCGCTGCCAGCCAAAGTCAACATAAAAATCTAAGAGTGGTCTAGACTAGGAAATGATGGAGCCCCCCCACTGGGGCTGCCCCTCCCTGACACCCAGAGATCCACATCTGGGGGCTTTGTCTGGGTCATGCTGCCCCACTGCGGGCACCACCTAGGCAACAAGCTGCTCCTCACGCACCCCCTTCTGGCCTGTCCTTCTGTGATTTTATTTTTAATTTCCACCCCTCTCCACTTCCCTCATGTAAACATAACAGGGTTTTTGGCCAAGGGCTTTGACCCCCTGCTGTCCTTGTCTTCCTGCCTACAGGCAGACGTTCCCTCTATGTCCCTGCTGCGGCCATGGCAGCTTCCATGGTGCCCGCCAGCGTTTCACCCTTTAGCTGCTCCTTTGTTTTCGTGGCATTCAAGCCCTAAATAGCAATGCCGCTAATTATTCCAGGTTTCTGGTCCAGACTCCAGGAAAGCTAAATTTGACTACGCTGGCAGGAAGCAACTCAGGCGGTTGCACATGGGCTTGTATCCTCTGCCAGACATTGCCTCGCTCCTGTTTGGTTTTCTGCTGTGAAACAGCCATAAAAAGAAGCGCGAGGCAGCCCAGGAGGACTGTGGCTCCTGGTCTCTGTCGGTTAGGGACCACAAGCCATCTGCGCCAGCAATACAGGGTGGTGCTGACTGGCAAGATGTCTGCAGGATGATAGCAGGCCACGGGGTATGTGGCGGGGATCCTGAGCAGAAATAAACCTGTGCCTGGGGGTTTGGCAGTAGGGCTGTTCGTGCTGGGATGGGGTTTGTTTCAGCCCTGCCAGCCTCAGGGGCTGTGGACAAACGTACCTGCAGGTCCAGGAGCAGCTCCTCCATCAGCAGTTGGCAGGCTTTCTTCTGTGTCCTGTCTAGAGCAGCCTGGAGGGACGTGGGGACTTCTCTGCGGGCAGGGTTGGGGTGCAGGGAGGAGACAGAGGAGCTGGGAGAGACAGAAGAAGGGAGGGGACAGGTAGCTTGGTGGGGACACTGGTCCCACGTGGGGATGGGGAGCGGCATTGCTATAAGACCTACAAGGTGCTGGCGCATGTTACCTGAGAGCCAGGTTGTTGTTGAGCATGGCCAGCAAGTAGGAGACATAGTACTTGGGTATGGTACGGTCCTTCTGGTGCTCCTTCCCGCATTGCACTAGGGCTTCCCGCAGACTGCAACACAATGAGTCACCCACGATGGGCGGGCAGAGCGCCAGACCTCTCGCCACAAGGACCTGGGGGTGCTCCTGGGGACACGAGGACCTCCCACAACCCTCCCAGCTCACTTGGCTCTTTCCAGCTCCTGCCACCAGGTTGGAGAGCAACAGGTTGTTGGGTAGGGCAGGACAGTGGGACCCATTCTGGACCCATCCCAGGAGAGCAGGGCTTGGCACTACTGCAAAGGCGCTTGGGGCAGCAAGCCCTGGGAGCTGATGGCCCCACAGACTGCGACAGTAGCCCCCATGGGTAGGCAGCCTCCTGGGACCTGGATGAGCACTGGGTGCCCCATGGCAGAGACCTCCACCATCAGCCTACAGTGCTTGGCTGGGTGCTTGGTCTTTGAGGATGGGCAGGGGTGCAAGGGGCTCCACTGACCGGCCCAGAAATGCCTCGAGCTCCTCCAAGGCCATGTTGTAGACCTTCTGCTGCAGAGACTCGGTGATCAGGGAAGCTACCTGGATATTCTCATTCAGCATCTGCACAGGGAGAGGAGAGTGGAAGGGAGTCAGCAGGAGGCTGCAGGCCACAGCCCCCTTTTTGGAGGCTCACAGCATGCCCATGACCCACGGTGCTGGAGACCCACCTGCATGACAATGACGGGCAGGGCTGACTGGAAGAAGCCCTGATGGTCTGTCTCAGGTTCCTCTTCCCTGAACCATTCCTTGAACTCCACTTCCAGGGTCCTCTGCATCCACTCCAGCACGCTAGCCTGTGGGATGGATGCCCACCACGGTCAGCCTGAGAAGTCAGGTACCAAATCCCTTGAGACCCAACATGTAGCAGTGTAGCAAGTCCTGGGCCTCACCCCACAGGCTCAAGGTCTCCTGCAGAGGAGATGCCAGCACAGCGGTAGTACCCGTTGCACATGTGCTGTCCCACTCACTCACCTTGACTTTCACCACGTATTTCCTCTCTGTCTGATCCACGAGCTCTGGGGACATCAAGGGGCCCAGCGCAGAAATGTCCACTTCTGGGAGAAGGTCAGGGTGACCCATCATCTGCGGGCTGCAGGGCAGAGGGGGGACAGGGGGGGGAAGACCTGTGTTTTCCAGCAGTGCCTACCTCTCCCTCTGCCCCCCCAGGGGTCATCCCCAGGCGGCTGGGGCCACTCTCCCTACCCGCCTGTGCGCTGGTGGACAACCCAGCTGGGTGCTGGGGTAGGTGCTGACCTGTGGTACACACAAAGCGCCCACTCGAGGAGGAGGAAGAGCGCCTGTTTGTCCAGGTCCTCTCGGAGCATGTCCTGGAGGTGGCTGGTGAGGGCCCGGTGGTAGGTGGCAGTGCAGATGCTGAGGATGTTGTAGTGAGCTGGGACGCACTGGACCATCAGGTCCTTCACCACACACAGCTCAGACACAATGTCCTTCTGCAGCGCTGCCAGGTGCCTGGCCAGCCCTGGCCCCTCAGCATCCATGCGGGCGGCATGAAAGCGCGCTCCTGTGATGGTCTCCTGGAGAACGTGGTAAAACTTCTGTCTCCAGCCCTTTGGGCGGCCAGGGGGAAGGAAGGTGGCCTCCAGGAGCAGAGCATCATCTCTCTTCTCCTCCCGCTCGATGATCCTTACAGCCGTGACGAAAAGAACCGGGTCCTCGCGCACCAGCCGCAGGCTGCTGCCCACGATGTCCCACAGCTGCTTGGCCAGGCTCTCATTGAGCTCCTGCAGGCCACTGAAGTAGGACAGCACAGTTGCCTGGGCACTGGAGAGCCCGCGGAGGTGCAGCCGGGAGAGGATGTCGTCCCTGAGGTGCTCCATCATCATCAGCTCCGCATGGGCCTCCAAGAGGTGCTGCCCGTGGAGCAGCTGCAGGGTATGGGAAAAAACCTCGTGGACTGTGGAGAAAGGGAGGAGAGATCACAGAATCATAGAATCATTTAAATCGGAAAAGACCTTTAAGATCAAGTCCAACCATTAAACTAACCCTGCCATCCCACCACTAAACCCTGGCCCTAAGCATCTCATCTACCCATCTTTTTAAATACCTCCAGGGATGGGGACTCGACCACCTCCCTGGGCAACCCCTTCCAGTGCCTGAAAAACCTTTCTGTGAAGAAATGTTTCCTAATGTCTAACCTAATCCTGCCCTGGCGCAACTTCAGACCATTTCCCCTTGTTCCATCGTCCGTTACCAGGGAGAAGAGGCCAACCCTCACCTTGCTACAGCCTCCTGTCAGGCAGTTGTAGAGGGTGATAAGAACATGCCTATATCTCATTTTCTTGTACGGGTTTGAAGCTACGTCAGGTTAAGTTAACCAAACCTTCACCATCTCTCCTCATCGCTCCAGTGGACATGGATCACTGTAGTTGGAGATACTTACCTGTAAGGCTCAGAAACCTGCTCAGCTTATAGCAGCTTCACGGGTTACTGCATGCCAGCCGAGCCACTGTAGCGTTGCATGGGGTTGTTGTGACCCCAGTGCAGCACCTGGAACTTGGCCTTGTTGAACCTCATACAGTTGGCCTCAGCCCATCAATCCAGCCTGGCCAGGTCCCTCTGCAGAGCCCTCCTCCCCTCGAGCAGATCAACACTCCCACCCAGTTTGGTGTCATCTGCAAACTTACTGAGGGCACACTCAATCCCCTCGTCCAGGTCGTTGCTAAAGATGTTAATCAAGACTGGCCTTAGAACTGAGCCCAGGGGAACACCACTTGTGACCAGCTGCCAACTGGATTTAACTCCATTCACCACAACTCTCTGGGCTCGGCCATCCAACCAGTTTTGCTCCATCATCATCAGCTCCGCATGGGCCTCCAAGAGGTGCTGCCCGTGGAGCAGCTGCAGGGTATGGGAAAAAACCTCGTGGACTGTGGAGAAAGGGAGGAGAGATCACAGAATCATAGAATCATTTAAATCGGAAAAGACCTTTAAGATCAAGTCCAACCATTAAACTAACCCTGCCATCCCACCACTAAACCCTGGCCCTAAGCATCTCATCTACCCATCTTTTTAAATACCTCCAGGGATGGGGACTCGACCACCTCCCTGGGCAACCCCTTCCAGTGCCTGAAAAACCTTTCTGTGAAGAAATGTTTCCTAATGTCTAACCTAATCCTGCCCTGGCGCAACTTCAGACCATTTCACCTTGTTCCATCGTCCGTTACCAGGGAGAAGAGGCCAACCCTCACCTTGCTACACCCTCCTGTCAGGCAGTTGTAGGCAGCGATAAGGTCTCCCCTCAGTCTCCTCTTCTCCAGGCTCAACACCCCCAGTTCCCTCAGCCACTCCTCAGCAGCCTGGGGCTCCAGACCCCTCACCAGCTTTGTGGCTCTCTCGACATGCTCCAGCAATGCAACGTCTTTCTTGTAGTGAGGGGCCCAAAACTGAATACAGTATTCAAGGTGCAGCCTCACCAGTGCCCAGCACAGGGGCACGATCACTTCCCTACTCCTGCTGGCCACACCAGTCCTGATACAAGCCAGGACGCCGTTGGCCTTCTTGGCCACCTGAGCACACTGCTGGCTCATATTCAGCTGTCTGCAAACCAGTATCCCCAGGTCTTTTTCTGCCAGGCAGCTTTCCAGCCACTCTTCCCAATGCCTGTAGCGTTGCATGGGGTTGTTGTGACCCCAGTGCAGGACCTGGAACTTGGCCTTGTTGAACCTCATACAGTTGGCCTCAGCCCATCAATCCAGCCTGGCCAGGTCCCTCTGCAGAGCCCTCCTCCCCTCGAGCAGATCAACACTCCCACCCAGTTTGGTGTCATCTGCAAACTTACTGAGGGCACACTCAATCCCCTCGTCCAGGTCGTTGCTAAAGATGTTAATCAAGACTGGCCTTAGAACTGAGCCCAGGGGAACACCACTTGTGACCAGCTGCCAACTGGATTTAACTCCATTCACCACAACTCTCTGGGCTCGGCCATCCAACCAGTTTTTTACCCAGTGAAGAGTACACCCATCTAGGCCATGAACCGCCAGCTTCTCTAGGAGAATGCTGTGGGAGACTGTGTCAAAGGCTTTTCTGAAGTCCAGGTAGACAACATCCACAGCCTTTCCCTCATCCACCAGGTGGGTTACCTGGTCATAGAAGGAAATCAAGTTGGTTAGGCAAGACCTGCCTTTCAGATGCCAGGGTTGAGCGTGGGGGGTGAAGGGGGATGGCACCGGGGTCACGTGTGTGGGTTTGCAGGAAGATGGTGAGGGCCTGAGATCTGGGGCCCTGGGAATATCAGGCCCCAGGGAGGCAGCAGCTTCTCCATCCATGGAGACTTTCCAAACCCAACTGGCAAAGCCGGAGCAACCTGCTCTAGCTTTTCTGCCAGCCCTGCGTGGAGCTCAGGGTTAGACTGGAGTTCTCCCCAGTGCTTTCCAGCCCAAATCCACAAGGATCGGGCCAGTGCCTTACCTGAGAAGAGCTGGGGCAGTACCTGGACCACCGAGGCCAACTGCACGTGCTCCGCCATCAGTGCCCGCATCTGCTGGAGGCCCTGGAAGCGGTCCGCGCTGTCGAGCAAGGCCCACCGTGCAGCCCCCAGGTCCTGGCATACGCTCTGCACCTCCTGGGCTGCCAACTGCAGCTGCTCCAGTCCCGTGCTTACCCCCTCCAGGTAGGACTGGACAGTTGACTGGGGAGCAAAGAGGACAGAGGGGCAGTGGAGAAGCTCTCAAAGGCTGGAGGAGTCGCATGCCGTTTGCCCCAGCCTTGCCAGGTCTCTCTCGCATGTGCTCTCCTAGCCCCACAAAGTCACATCTGCCCCTGCCATCATGCCCTCACACCTCCCAGACCTCCTGTGCTGACCCCCATCCCATCAGACCCAAGCACACCCAGCTTCAAGAAACCTGCTCCGGCAGTGGGAATGGCTCATTTCACCCTGCTCTGGGTAAACTGAGTCACAGTCACAATCTATGGGGTGGGGGGAAACAGCTGCTGCGCAGGAGGTGGGAGAAAGGCAGCATTTTGGGGCAACCAAGGCAGCAGGCTGAGCCGCAACCAGAGGTCTCCTTTCGGTTTTAAAAGATTACTTTGCTCCTGGAAAATATGTGCAGGCCAGAGGGCCCCCCGTGTGCCCCCTGAGGTATACTAATGGCATGAAACACCTCGGTGGCCCTATGAACCCCCCTCCAAAATGGGTTTCCATCTTTTCCAGCCCTGCAGCGGTGCTGGCACATCTCCATGCCTTCTCTGCCCATTTAACTCTGGGCTCCTTGTGCCAGGAACCACTTTTACCCGGCGTCACCAGAAGTAGGTTGTTTTCTTTGAGCCCACGTCACTGAAGACAAGCTGCCTCCCGGACAACTCACCCCCATTCAGGTCGGAGAAACCATCTCCAAAATAATTGGGAGAAGGTTGGGGTGCTGAGGCTGATTGGATCCTGAGGTTAATAGTTCCTCAGGTTATGCAAAAAGCATCGCCCTGAGTGGGGAACAGGAGCAGGGACAGCCCTTACCAACATGCGCAGAGATGGATTTCACCCATGGGACCTACGGGCAGGGGCAGGTTGGAGCTCAGAGCCTCCTCCCAGCTGTGGGGAAGGGGAGCTTTGGTGTGGAGATGGGATGGTGATGGGGAACGCGTACTCCCGCACATGGGATGTACTGAACCCCCTTGGTGTTTTGTTTTGAAGATGGATGGGAGACTCATTTTAATGCCTCAGATGCTACCCAGAGGGAGGGCAGGGGGTTACCAGATCTTTCCCCCCCCCCCTCCAAAAAATTGCGTTTCTCCCACCAAGCGCCAGCCAAAGGGTAAGATTTTTCCACAAGTGTGGAAAAAAAAGATGACTCAGTGCAGAATAGGGGACCCCAGCTGAGATCCCCACCTGGGCAGGCTGCAGGCATCTGTGGGATGGGCTGTGGTAAACACCCACCTTCAGCCGGGACTGGATGGAGCTGTTCCTCTGCGTCTCTCGGCTCCGGTACTGCCCGAGCCCCTCCAGTTTCTCGGGGCAGTAAAACACCCCTGAAGCCCATTTCAGAGCGGCTCCTCTTGCCAACTTCTCAGCTTTCTCCGCTTCTGGCCACTCCTCGTCTGGGGATAAAGCTGGGGTTAACGAGCACAATGAAGCCTCTCCTGGCAGGGCAGGAAGGGCCCCCGAGGCCAGGGGCAGGAAGCTGCCGCCAGCGGATGTCCAAGCACACCCAGATGCGGGAAGCTGGACAGCAAGCGGGTACTTCCATAAGGACGCCCCCCCCCCCCCC